ACATGACACGCCTCTAGGACATGCTTCGGCAAAGGCAAGAACAACAGCAAGCGTACAAGGCAGCGAGGCAGGCGAAGGCCGCTTTAGCCCCAATCCTCCAGTATTCGATGGGTTACGTCTCACCCCAAGTCTATCCGCAAGCACCGATCCAGCCCCTTCCGACACAAGCCATGCAAGCACCAGTGTACTTCACCGGGCAGCCTTCGACCACAGCAGTACATCCGGCCCCTCACGCGTAGCTGCAAGCTCAGCCGGTCGCTGCCCAAGCGCACTCTCAGCCGCCTGGCCAAGTGTCACAAACAATGGCAGAAGGGGCTTCGGCTTTGCAAACGCAGCTTCAAGCTTTCCTTCAACAACTTAGCCAGTCCCACAGTATTTCAGGTACAGCCCCTTCGGCACAGCCGGAGGGGAATACAGGTCAAGGTGCGCCTAGCTGGTTGCCGCCGAATCAGCCGGGTCTGGGGGCTTCGCCTTGGAGTTAAGGACCACAGTTCGATTTCATCAACGCTGCTTCGGCACCAACCGTTCGACCGCAAGCACCGACAGCATGCTTCGGGGCAAACCAAGCACCAAACCAGGCCGCCGTGGCATGGTCCCAGCCATCGTTCGACCCATCCATGGCGGCTCACCAAGCATCACCAATCGGAGCCGGGCAGCCGAGCTCCATGGCCCAACCTCACGCGGAGGCTGTGACTTCGCCCTTTGCCACGCCGTATCCGCAGCAAGGTGCCGTGAACAGGGCAGGAGGCGAAAAGGGGCTACCGCTGAATGATGGAATCAAGATCCGTCCAATCCCACCCCAATTTAAGTTCCCACCCGTCCCACGCTATTCAGGCGAAACTGACCCAAAGGAATTCCTCTCCATCTACGAGTCTGCGATCGAAGTGGCTCATGGTGACGAAAATACCAAGGCAAAGGTAATACATCTTGCTCTAGAAGGCATCGCCCGTTCTTGGTACTTCAATTTACCAACCAACAGCATTTACTCATGGGAACAATTGCGCGATGTTTTTGTCCTTAACTTTCGAGGCACTTACGAGTAGCCGAAGACGCAGCAGCATCTGCTCGGCATTCCCCAGAGGCCGGAGGAATCGATAAGGGAGTACATGCATCGTTTCTCGCAAGCCCGATGTCAAGTACAAGACATAACGGAGGCCTCAGTCATCAACGCCGCTTTGGCCGGGCTACTCGAGGGCGAACTCACAAGAAAAATCGCCAACAAAGAGCCGCAGACGCTTGAACACCTGCTTCGCATCATTGACGGGTACGCAAGGGGGGAAGAGGATTCCAAGCGGCGGCAAGCAATTCAAGCTGAGTATGATAAAGCCTCCGTCGCCGCTACCCAAGCCCAAGCACAAGCTTAGGTCACCGAACCACCTCCTCTCGCTGTTCGCTAGGCCGAGCCGGCGAACCAAGGACAACCACCAAGGCAAGTCCAAGCTCCCATCACCTGGAGGAAGTTCAGAACCGACCATGCGGGCAAGGCTGTGATGGCTGTCGAAGAAGTTCAAGCCCTCCGCAAGGAGTTCGATGCCCAGCAAGCAAGCAACCATCAGCAGCCCATTCGCAAGAAGGTCCAGAAGAACCTTTACTGCGCCTTCCATGGACGCTCTTTGCACACCACGGAGCAATGCCGAAACATTCGGCAGCGCGGCAACGCACAAGATCCGAGGCCGCAGCAGGGAGCAGCTGCCGAAGCACCTTGTGAAGCCGTTCAAGAACAAGCACCCCCCGCCGAACAATGCCAAGACGTGCAGCGCAAAGTAATCCAAGTGATTACAAGAGCCGATCCGCCGAGCCAGCTGTCAAAATGGCAAAAGAAGATACAGCTCCGAACGGTCCACAACATCACTTCGGCGGGCGAAGGGGCCCCGCAGTATCTAAACCAGCAAATCTCTTTTGGGCCGGAAGATGCTGAAGGAGTAATGTTCCCGCATCAAGACCCTCTGGTGATCTCAGCCGAGATAGCTGGCTTCGAGGTCCGGCGAGGGTATTCGGCCGATGTCATCTTCACCGGAGCGTATGCCAAGATGGGATTGCCCACCCTAGCCCTTACTCAAGCACCGGCCTCGCTCCATTGTTTCAGCGGAGAAGCAGTTCAAGTTCTAGGTCAAGCACAATTGCTGGTAGCTTTTGGCACAGGCGAAAATAGACGCGAAGAGCAAATATAGTTTTACGTTGTCGACATCCCGTACAACTACAATGCCATCTTCAGCCGTGCAACCTTGAACAAGTTCGAAGCCATTTCCCAGCACAATTATCTTAAGCTCAAGATGCCTGGCCCGGCAGGAGTGATTGTGGTCAAGGGGATACAGCCTTCGGCTGCTTCAAAAGGCAATCTGGCCATAATCAACAGAGCAGTGCATAATGTTGAGGCCGAACCACAGGACCGAGCGAAGCACGCGCCGAAGCCCGCCCCTCACGGCAAGGTAATAAAGATGCAGATTGATGACGCCAACCCCTCAAAGCTCGTATCATTGGGGCGACATGGGCAAAGAAGAGGTTGACAATATCATAGATGTGCTCAAGAAAAACATTGATATCTTCGCTTGGGGCCCTGATGAGGTGGGAGGTGTTTCGAGAGATCTCATCATGCATCACCTGGCAATCAAGCCGGGTGCCAAGCCAAGGAAATAGAAGCTACGCAAGACGTCCGCTGATCGCCAAGAAGCAGCAAAAGCCGAAGTCCAAAAATTGCTCAAGGCTTGGGTCATTCAAGAGATCGACCATCCTGAGTGGTTGGCGAATCCGGTGCTAGTGCGGAAATCAAACGGCAAATGGCGCATGTGTGTCGATTTCACAGACTTGAACAAGGCATGTCCGAAGGACGATTTCCCCTTGCCACGGATCGACCAACTTCTGGATTCGACAGCTGGCTGCGAACTCATGAGCTTCTTGGATGCAAACTCCGGCTATCACCAGATCCACATGGACCCGGCCGACATCTCCAAGACAACCTTCATCACGCCATTTGGCACCTTTTGCCACCTCAGGATGCCTTTCGGCCTGAGGAACGCCGGGGCAACCTTCGCCAGGTGTACAAGGTCCTTTACAAGAAGTTGGGATGAAATGTGGAGGTTTATGTCGACGATATCGTCGTAAAGAGCCGCAAGGCTTTCGACCACGCGTCTGACCTGTAGGAGACCTTCAACAACTTACGCGCGGCGGGTATGAAACTGAATCCTAAGAAGTGTGTTTTTGGTGTTCGCGCGGGCAAGTTGTTGGGTTTCCTTGTTTCTGAATGAGGCATCGAGGTGAACCCCGAGAAAATCGATGCCATTCAGCAAATGAAGCCCCCGTCGAGCGTACGTGAAGTACAAAAGCTCGCAGGCCAAATTGCGGCACTCAGTTGATTCCTCTCAAAGGCAGCCGAAAGTGGTTTGCCCTTCTTCAAGACCCTCCGAGGCGCGGGAAAATTCACCTGGACACCCGAATGCCAAGCAGCGTTCGACGAGCTAAAGCAATATCTGCGAAGCCCGCCCGCTCTGATCAGCCCAACACCAGGAAGCGAACTGCTACTATATCTGGCAGCTTCGCCAGTGGTAGTCAGTGCTGCCCTCGTCCAAGAAACAGAGTCAGGCTAGAAACCGGTCTATTTCGTCTCCGAAGCATTGCAAGGAGCGAAAACAAGACACATTGAAATGGAGAAACTTGCTTACGCCTTGGTGATGGTTTCGCGCAAGCTTAAACACTATTTTCAGGCCCACAAAGTCACGGTGCCATTGCAGTACCCTTTGGACGAGGAAGTTACTAGCCGGCTCAGCAAGTAGGTGGAGCTATCCCCTTTCGACTTGCATTTTGTTGCCCGCACTACTGTCAAATCTCAAGTGCTAGCTGACTTCGTGGCCGAATGGACACCGGCATCCGCCCTAGAGCCCGAGCCCGTCGAACAACCCTGGGTGTTGTACTCCGACGACTCGTGGTCGCACAAGGGGGCGGGCGTTGTGGCGGTACTCACTTCGCCAGGAAGCGTGCCGATTCGGTATGCCGCAAGGATGCAGTTCGACACAACCAACAACGCAGCAGAATACAAAGCTATTCTTCTGGGCCTAAAAAAGGTGAAAGCATTGGGGGTTCGGCGCTTGCTCATCCGAACTGACTCCAAGTTGGTGGCAGGTCACGTCGATAAGTCCTTTGAAGCAAAGGAAGAAGGAATGAAGAGGTATTTGGAGGTTGTTCGGTCTATGGAAAAACGCTTCGTCGGCATAACGGTCGAACATTTACCTAGAGGCCAGAACGAGCAAGCAGACGCCTTGGCAAAATCTGCTGCTTTTGGGGGCCCACATTCATCGGGCATCTTTTTCGAAGTCCTATACGTACCAAGTGTGCACGCAGAGGACTTGGATGTCATGGCAATCGACCAAGCAAGACTGGGTGAAGATCCAGCAGACTAGCGAACCCCATTCGTAAAATACTTCAAGAGCGGCTAGCTCCCGGAAGATGAAGCAGAAGCAAAGCGCTTACAGCTCAGAGCCGCGAAATAAAAAATGTTCTCGGGCCAACTATATCGCTCCGGCGTACTCCAACCTTTGCTTCGCTGCATCTCTTTTGCCGAAGGCGGGGAAATGGCGAAGGAAATACACCAGGGGCTCTATGGCGCAAACCAGGCCGCAAGAACAGTTGCCTCCAAAGTGTTTCGACAAGGAATATATTGGCCCACCATACTGAAAGTCTGTGTTGTGCAAGTCAAGAAATGCGAAAGCTGTCAGCGCCATGGCCGAAGCCCAACTGCGCCCCAGTACGAGTTGCAACCCATCGCACCAATCTGGCCTTTCGCTAGATGGGGGTTGGACATCATTAGGCCGTTCCCGGTGGCGCGAAACGGGTACAAGTTCGCAATTGTGGCCGTCGAATACTTCTCCCGATGGATTGAGGCTGAACCCCTCGGAGCGGTCACTTCGGCAGCAGTACAGAAGTTTGTATGGAAAAACATTGTTTGCCGTTTCGGAGTGCAAAAAGAGTTCATCACGGACAACGGCAAGCTACTTCTTCTTCTCCTTCTATGTGATGACTTCCTGCAGCCGATGGAGTTTGCTCACTGGATTCAGAAATCAGAGTTGGAGGACGAGGAGGCTGACAACACAACTACAGATTAGCCTCGGTTACTTAAGAACTGAAAATGAAATTCGTTGGGATTGAGAAATTTAACCGATGGGGCTGGTGCTTGTGGCTTCTTGGAAGCAAACTTTTTCTGCAATGAATCAAAAGTTAAGGATTGGTATAAAGGCAAAATAAACTCAGACCATAGATTGAGAACTAATACATACTCTTGGTTTATATGTGGGACGTACTGGAGGTGATGGAGTTCTTTGAGGAACAAGAGGATCGGCGGGAGGTGTTTGTTCTCGGGTGTCACTATCGTGTTCAGCCGCTTCATCCACATCTTCTGCCAATTCTTCACCCTCCAGGAATTCTGCTACATCTAGATCTATGGCTGGCAGAACATCGGCAGTAGCCTTTTGTTTCCTAGGCTTCTTCTTTGCAGCCGATGGTGCACCAGCCGACTTTGCTCTTTTCTTTCTACCAGCATCAAGGGCTATCGGCACACGGGGCAGATCATGCAGCAATGTTGAAGTCTTGGGGGTATGGTAGCCAATGACTGGTGGAGCCAAACCACCACTGTTGGGCAGGAGTCCTAGAGCATATAGAATTTCCACACCACTGTTGCTATGATGAGGAGGACAAGATTCTGTTGGCTGCAAAAAGCAAAATTACATAAGTCAAGATTAGTACATTAGCTTACAATTGATAGAATTGACAAAGAATAAGATTCTTACTTGAGGGACAGCTTCAGGAATAGATCTGTCATATACATTGAAGCTGATCGATGAAACAAATGTTTTTTCCACTCTATCCACCATCGGTTAGATGCAGCACTTCTCAACATTCTCAGTTTAATATTGTCGATACTGCCTAAAGGTGGTCCAGGAATGTTCAGCAGCCGATCCATCATGAGTGCTGATGTAATCTCTCCTCTACTCTGTATCTTGTCGGCAAAGAACAAGCTGATCGGCTGTTGACCCATGCCGAGTTGCCTTGCAACACTTGTCGGATGATAGAATTCATAAGTCATTTGGATATTCTTGCCTTGGTGGATGCCGACAGCGAGGATGCAAGGGCTGGAGGCTCTTGAATACACTTCTCTGGATTTCTCATATTTTTCTGAATTAATCTCCTCGAAACAAAAATCACCCGGTAGTTCAAAGGTGCCATGTCCTTCATAGGAAACCAGATTCTAGTGTTCCTGGGAAATCCATCATAAAAATTATTGAACCATTCTCTGAAGGGCTCAGCCAATAGCTTGGATGCGGTATTTACAGATGTTGCTTCTCCAAAAGACATGCATCGGCATGTGGTGATGTTTTCTCCATCTTCACCGATGATCGGCTCAAACCTTGGAAATCTTGCATTGGTTAACAGTGGCTGATCGGCAACCATGATAGTGTGCAGGATTAACCAGATCTGAAGCAGCCACCAAGGACCTCCTGTGCCGATTGATAATCGAGAGGCCATCTTGGTTATTGCACTGTTCAGGGTTTGGTACAGGTAGCCCAGCAAGTATTTTCCATGGGGGAATTGTTTCTTTTCTACCAAGTTCTCAGCTATATGTTGCCAATTCGCAGTAGGACCACAGCTCGGACCACAAAACAAGAACTTTTCAAGCCACATCATGAGGAAGGCTACATGTTCTCTAGTAGAAATCGATCCAGTAACCATGTTCTTTGCAGCATAACCTGTCCAACCACATATGCTTCTAGTTTTGAACTCATGGGTGGATTTGGTATTCAAACTGGCCAAGTTAGCCGATGAAGTGATATCTAGGCCTGTTATCATTTTAATATCCAAGAGAGTTGGGGTCATGGGTCCTTGAGAGAAAAGAAAAGCATTCATAGCAGTGGACCAGAAATAGGTTGCAGCTACCATCATAGGTTCTTCCTTGGCCATATCTGCCACAGTTAGGGCTAAAGCTTGAGATATGCCAATTTCTTCCCAATGGGTTAGTTTGCTAGCCGACATTCTCATGTACCAAGCGGGCCAGCTCTTCTCGGCTGATGGCCAAGATTTGAAGGTGTTCTTCCAAAGGCTCAGATCTGGGTTGGCGAATCTAAAGGGGATTCGATTGGTTTCACCATTGATGAACTCTGTGGGATCTGGATTGCTGACTGGGCCAAGGAAAATTTGATGTTCATCGGTTATGCTAGGGACTGCTATCTGATGAGAAAGATGCTACAGAGGACAAGAAATCGAAGATTGATCAAAGAAAGAACCAATCTCGTGTGAAAAAGAGGGAGTTTAGCCGATGGTGCTTACCTCAACGTACTCGACGGTTGATGCTCTCGGAGGGCTGGCGGAGGTCGACATTGTCGATGACGAAGATTGGTGTCGTAGGGGATCGCCTTTGGATCGCCGGAAAACTCGAGGAGGTCGCCGGAGAGCTCAAGACGGCAAATTGGGGAAAGTTTTGGCTAGAGCGGTTAAAACGGAAGTGACACCGTGAAATGAGCAAAGCGGTGGCTACTATTTAAAAGGGAGCGTAGTAACGGCCAAAATAAAATCGGTAATGGAAACCCTAGTTTTATTCGGAGAAGGAAATTAAGCAAATCCACAACATTTCCAATATAGCAGACTCTTGGGGGGCATGTGTTAACAACCAAATTTGGTAAGATATGAACCAGGTTCAGCATTGGGATCGAAGCGGATTCGGCAAAGAGTAAGATTCAAAGAACAGAGTATGCATCGGCTGCGAAGGCATTAGCTGGGGTTTGTATCGGCTGAGATGGATCGGACAGAGGGCAGCCGATATAGCCGATACAGACGATACAACCGATTCTAATAAAGACGGTTGTGAAATTGTTTCTAGAATCGATCGACGTGCTTGACAAGGATTGCTTAGAGATATGTTTGGGCAAAAGTCTGCCGTAAAGACTTATGCGTATCTTGGAGTTTGTTAGAAATAAGAGTCATGTCCGGTAAGGACTATCATGTATCTCGGGTACAAATATGACCTGAACCCAATGTAATCAACAACACACAGTTCAATAACACTTTTGGCGCATCGCCACCCTTTTACTTTCGTTCTATTTCGACGAGTTCTTGCTTTCGGGTTGAGCTGCATCGATTTCGATCTTCAACTAGAGGTAAACTTGTCACGATGGCTTGCGTTCTCGAGATTAGTGCTTCCATCTTTATGACACTCTAATCTTGTTTATGTAATTCGTCGAGTTATCATAAATACTTTATAATCTCTGTTAGTTGCGCTATATAATTTGCGATCGGCTGGTTTCTTCTGTTAGGAAGTAGCCAATAGAGTTAGATCTCGTTATTAATCTAGATTATATCGTGCATCTACCATCTCTCAGAGGTTTTCATTGACTTGTTCAGATCTTACGGTTATTTTTATGCTTGATGCTGCATCGGTTAAGTTCGATCTATAAAGTTGTCGAAACAAATTTTCGGCAATATGAAAAGGGGGTAGCGCACGAGACCTAAAAGTGGATGGATGCGGAGACAAAGGATTTAGACAGGTTCAAGCCCTCTCGATGAGAGGTAATACCCTACTCTTGTTTGGGGATTTGAATCCGCCGGGTGTATATTGATCTGACGATCAGTTTGTGTCATGCCCCCTAGAGGGCCTCCTGCCCACCTTATATAGGATGGGGGACAGGATTACAAGATAGAAACTTTAACCAATACAGTATCGGTTTCCTAAATCTATTTTACAATATTATCAAATCAGGACTTTAGGCCGCTCCATAATATAAAAGGAAACGTAATACCCAAGTCATGATCGGTTACATATTCCATAGATATAAGCTATCCCCTATGACTAGTCGGATAACCATGCCGTGTGGGTATGCGGTACCCATAATCTCCACAGTAGCCCCTGAGACCTTCACAGTCGGAAAGATAATCTTCTCTCGAACTAGATTACTTCAAAGCCGAGTGCTTCAATCATCTTCGCCATGATCTCCCGAGTACTTTTACCAAATATGAAGACTGTGGAGGGCTGAAAAATAAACTCAGGTGCATCGAATAGATGTACCTAATAGATGCACCAACTGAGTGGTTTTGATAATTATAGTCAACCAAGTGACTTAATATTAATATATAGCATATGCGGTGTGAATCCCTGAATAACAGGATCCGAGTGATATACCGACTGCTTTGTAAAATATGATGCGTGCAACCTAAAGCTGATTACATCATTGAATACACATAGCATAACAGCTATAAAGAAGCTTGTATGTTGTGAATAAATAAATTTCCAAAGTATTGGGCATACACCATGCGCACACTGCTTTAACAGATGTGCTTGAGTCCCTAAAAGACACATGGTTTCACCATACCTGGAAATATATGGCATATGTGGTATAAAATCCGAGTAAATAAACTCATAAGGATTTATCAATCGTCTGGAAAATGACCAAAATATATAATCAGCCTAAGCCATAATATTGGTCAATAAAAATGCACACTTATGTGGCAAAAAGCAATGATATTGTATCCAATCAATTGCTTGATAAACCCAAACAGCGCCATGACTATATAAAAAAGTCAGCGAGGCAGCTATATAAAGCTTTACTGTTTGACACCTTTTAAGATGCATTGTACCAACTCCTAAAAAGTTGAGTAACTGCGGTATAAAAGGATTTTAAGGTATTGGGCACTAGATCACGCGCACTTTGGCCTAAGCAAAAAGTGCCTAAGTCCTTAAAAGAACGTGACAGGCCACACCTGAAAATATGGGCTGCAGACATTAGGCCTAGGCCAAAAAGTATGCCTTCGACACCCTTTAAAGGATGACGCATGTAACATGCTCCCGAGTAATAAATCTTCTAGGTAATGTAGACCAAGTGTAGCTCATATGAATAGTTTCTGATCTGAGTGATTATCCTTTATGGGATACTCCAAAATAGATATAATAATTAAATCCCGACTGGCGCAAGTATTCAGTTGATAGTCCTTACGGGGAATAATAATTAGTCCAGTCTTTGAGTATAGAAAATAAACTCATGACTATAAATCCATGTTGAATGTATCCGAAACAAGTCCAAATTGAAGGTATGATACTTGTGTTTGAGCTAGTAAGCCCCTGAGCATATAGCTTGTCCTTCTGTCGTAGTCACAATTGTCCATTGATGGCAGCGTGAAAGCGAAGACATCATGGGCGGCGGCGGAGGCAAGCCGGTGGTGAAGATGTAGACGCTCATCAATGGCAATGGCGAAATCCATCAATCATGAAGATGAAGAAAATAGTCAGCGACGACAAACACAACCGACAGTAATGATGGTAAGCAGCAACAGAGATGATCGATTATGATGACGAAGTTTCCCATCAAACAGCAATAGAATAGGCTATGTTGAAGAGGCTATGTTGAATAGGGATATTGATGAAGATGACGATGTCGATGATCCAGTCAATAGCAGTGTAGCAACCAATGATAATGACGAAGACACTCATCAGCGTTTGCATAGTTGGTCAACCGTGAAGGCGAAATAACAAGTCGGCAATGACAGAAGCAACTGGAGGCGAAGACATAGTCATCCATTAGCAACGGCAGAGATGTCAGGGCCGATGAATTAGAGGTGCTGGTGATGAAGTCAATGACAATAATCCATCAAACTGTTGAGAAGATATCGAAGCTCGAGTAGTTTCCTTGGCGCGAGAGTGTGTATAATGAAGATTGATGCAAAGCTCCTTGATTTATAAAGATGGCAGTAGAACTTGGTGTTATAGCTGTTGCAGATTCTTCACTTGGAGGAAAGTAGATGTTGTTGCCCAACTCATCAAAACTGAACTTATTGGTTGATAACTCCAAATTCCCGAACATGTAGATTAAATTTCAAAATTGATACTGGAAATATTTGGAGTAGATTGTGACGGCGTGAAGAAGCCAAAATTGACGGTGTAATAATTGGAGTCGCTGAAATTAAATGCCGGCTCTGAAGCGTAGACGAAGATAATAACTCCCCGAATTGACTCGTTGATTGATTGATTGCTTAATCTTGACATAAAGCTTGCCGAATTTTGATAGTCTTGTATTTGTGTAGCCCCCGACTTTTTGGTTAGTTGAGAAACAACTGAACATAGAGTCGAGAACTGTAGCTTCTTGTCGTCGAATAGTCATTGCTTGAGTGAAGATACGTGTTGAAGATGTCCGAGTAGAAATATTGAAGATTGGAACACCACTTGTTGTAATAAAATAACACGGCATCATATTTAGTGATGTATGCCGAGATGTCGAAACTCTTGTAGTCGTCGTGGTTGGTGAAGTAGTAAAGCTTGCGAAGTAGAGGCAATAGAGTTTGCCGGTGCCGAAGATAATAAAGATGAAGTCGCTCCACCATGGTGACAAAGCAGTCGGCGACGGAAGAAGTAGAATGATGATGAAAGCGTGCGGCCATGGAGATGAACAAGCCAGTCGGCGTCAGACAAGGCGGCCAGCAATGAAAACGATGATGTCCATCAGTAGTGGTAGCAGTATAAACCAGCCGTAGAGGCGAGGGCACTAGTCAACAGCAGACGAGATGACTGGCGGTGAAGACGATAAGGCCAATCAACACTGGCATAATCATGCAGCCATGGAAGTGAAGAAACCAGTCGGTAGCAGACGTAGATAGCTTGCATTGAAGGTGATGACGCCTATTTGTGGTGGCGGCAACGTGGCCAGCCGTGAAGACGATAGCACCAGTTGGTGTCATACGAGGTGGCCGGTCGGTGAAGACGGAGACGCCCAACAACAGCGGCATAATAGGCCAGCCGTGCAGGCGGTGACACCAGTCGGCGGTGGACGAGGCGGCCGGTCAGTGAAGACGTAGACGCCCAACAACGGCGGCAAAATAGGCCGGTCGTGCAGGCAGAAACACCAGTCGGCGGCTGCGAAGGCAAGCCGGTCGGTGAAGACGTAGATGCCCAACAACGGCGGCATAATAGGCCGGTCGTGCAGGCAGAAACACCAGTCGGCGGCGGCGAAGGCAAGCCTGTCGGTGAAGACGTAGACGTCCAACAACGGCGGCATAATAGGCCAGCCGTGCAGGCTGAAACACCAGTCGGCGGCGGACGAGGCGGCCGGTCGGTGAAGATGTAGACGCCCAACAACGGCGGCATAATAAGCCAGCCGTGCAGGCGGAAACACAAGTCGGCGGCGGACGAGGCGGCCGGTCGGTGAAGATGTAGACGCCCAACAACGGCGGCATAATAGGCCAGCCGTGCAGGCGGAAACACCAGTCGGCGGCGGACGAGGCGGCCGGTCGGTGAAGATGTAGACGCCCAACAACAGCGGCATAATAGGCCAGCTGTGCAGGCGGTGACACCAGCCGGCGGCGAACGAGGCGGCCGGTCGGTGAAGACGTAGACGCCCAACAACAGCGGCATAATAAGCTAGCTGTGCAGGCGGTGACACCAGTCAGTGGCGGCGAAAGCAAACCGGCGGTGATGTTCTAACTGATCCATTCCTGGAGCGTAAGAGATAAGCTTAAAGCCATGAATCCCTTTTATGCATATCTGGATTTGGATCCTGCAGAACAAACATATAGGATGAGTAGTATCTGATATAAATATAATACTTGATGAAAATTCAAACATTTTATAATGTTTGTGAATATGTATTTCTCCTCTTGTCAATTTTGATTTCCCCGAGCAGATGACTCCTTACGTTCAAACACTCTGCCCGACTAGTCTGTCATGCCCGGAAATTCACTAGTAATTACCAAACTTATTTGTGCATAAAACCCTCGTCCAGAAATCAGCCGAGGTACACAAACTGACAATTCAATATACAAATCCATCATAATAATAACGTTACATACTTACAATAGAAAAGAAAACAGCAGCGGAATAACGGTCTAGCGATGGCTTCAGCTCCACTCTCACAGGCAGCTCAACTGGGGTATAAGCCAAACGTTTTCTCCTTCTGGATCCTTTTTCTTCAACTGAGGTTGATTGATTATTGGAAGAATGAGCATATAACATACTCAACAAGCCACACAGCAAATATGCAAGTACACAAGGATACCAAAGGATGGCATAATATAGGCTCATTTGCGAAAGCAGCATTTAGCAAAGATTTAAGAGTAGTAAAACAGTAGAGTAATTAATCATCAAATTTTAATCAACACTGAACGTTCAAAGGTGTCTTGGAAGTTGGTGATGAAGTGTTTCGAGAAGCTCCGCCCAAGATCCAATTGTGCAACGGGGTAGCCCGTGAAGCCAGGATCGGGCAGAGTACACTAAGGCCACGGGTAGATAATTAACCATGGCTTTGCTATCTCCTCCTGCTGCGCGAATTGCGAGACTATAGACGGTGAGCCAAGACTCAGGATTTGTTTTGCCGTCATACTTCTCGATTCCAGTCGACTTGAAGCCGGCCAGCCAATCCACTCGACGCTGGTCGCTTGTGAAGGATCCACTCCATCCACATCGTCGTCGTAACGATCTGGTGAATTGTGAGGAATATATCCTCTTTTCGCACGACGCTGATTGATTGTATCGCGAAGATCGACGGGACGCCTGCGACGTGGAGAGCGGGGCTGTTCGGCCCGACGCTCCCTATGCCTGTCGGCAGGTGAGTGAACAGATCGTTCACCATGATCCCTGCTCCTGCGGCGGCGACGCTGAGGCTTGGTTGATGATAGTCTTGAGATCAAAGAGGTGGAACTCGGCTGCCAGTCGGCATACGGACGCTTGCGGAGGACCGAGGCGGCGATCATAGTCTTGGTTTGGTTCAAGATGTTGACGACGTGGTTGGGTGCATCTTCCTGAAGTAGAGTGTCAAGAAGGGTGATTGCTGCTACCGCGTTCTGCTGTGGGGTGCGGAAAACCGCCGTCCCCTCAACGTCTTGTTGCCCGATGAGATCGCGTGCCCTCCGTCCAGCATCTAGGGCACGTTCTCGGTGGTCCTCAGCCTCCTTCGTAGCCCGTTCGCGCTCCTCTTGCTCGCGCTGCAGTCGTTCCCGCTCTTGTGCTTGTCGCTCCTCCTCCAGTCGGCGACGTTCGGCTTCCAGTCGCGTGCGTTGCTCCTCTGCTTCTCGGGCTTGACGTTTTTCTGCCGTCTCGTTGTCTGCCATGAAAACACTGAAGAAAAGAGGCGTGTAGTTGTCTTCGTAGCCTTCGTCAAAATCGTCGAGGTTGCTGTAGTCGTAGCAGTAGCCGAAGTCGTCATACTCGAGGATCTCCGTTGGTTGAGAGTCGACACCGGGGGAGCTGAGGTAGCCGTCCAATTCTTCCATCGAAACTGTCCCGAGATGCTGAAGTGTGACGCCGACTTCCCTGGAGCAAGATCGGATCGGGGCCGAAACCAGATCCCGTCTAGACCTACAAGGAGAAGACATCCTTGTGGTGAAGACAGCGGCCAAGTCATCGGGGAGCTTCATCAGGATCGAAGGATAGGCCCCATCATCTTGATTAGGTCGTGTTGGAGTAGATGGGATCTCATCCGAGTGATTTGAGGCCGACTCGGATGAGATGATCTTAGAGTAGACCTCGGCCAAGTTCGGGAGACCGAACGGGGCAGGGACCTAGTCTCTCCCTGGCTGGTTCGGATCTGAGCCAAGGAGAGAAATCTTGCCGAAGTCGTTGGTGATGAAGTCGAGGCTACCGAATCGGAACGCCTGCCCGGGAGGAAAGACGAAGTCGTCGATGCCGGAGATGAAACCCATCGCACTAGTCGACGAAAAAACTTGACGCTCCCTCTACCTGGCGCGCCAACTGTCGAAACAAGATTTTGGCAATACTAAAAGGGGTGGCTATCAAGCTGGAAAAGTGGATGGGTTTAGAGACAAAGAATTTTATACAGGTTCAGGCCCTCTCAATGAGAAGTAATACCCTACTCCTGTCCGGGGATTGATCCGCCGAGTGTGTTATTGATCGTATGATCTGGGAGAAAAGTTATGCCCCAAGAGGCACTCGGACCCCTCCTTATATAGGGGGAGGAGTCCGTATTACAAGGTACAGCCCATATTCCTAACGGAATAGGCAAGTAAAGAGAGAATACAATCGTAATCGACTAGGATCCCGGGTATTTCCTTGATACACAAGTTTAGGAATTTAACCCGAGTCCCTTAAAGATATTCTATCTACATATGGTACCCCCATACCCAGTCGGATATGCATGTCGTGTGGGTATGGGGTATCCATAATCTCCACAACTGTACTGATGTATGAATTATTTCCAGATGTATTGGAGAAGCATGGAGATTTATTTACTTGAATGATATCTTGGTTTGTCCCCTTATGACCCTCCAACATCTCATCCGTGTTCTCAAGGTTTCGTGCCCCATCGTCTTGATGCTCATCAACTTCCTTAGCACGAAATTCATCTGGCAATATAAGAACACCTATGTCTCCAGAGAAATCAAGCATAGCTACCTCGTCTTCATTAGCCGATAATTCTGGATTTATCGGCTTTTGTTCTTGTGATAAAATTGGTTTTGACCTTTACTTAAAATATAAGAATTGAATTTTTCCTCCACATCTCTACAGATTTTTTCTGCAAGACTATCTATCTTTACATTGAATTCCTCTACAAATTGCCCCCAGTGCTCTTAGTATCTGAATGCTGTTCGGCCATGATCCCCGTATATGCACAATCAATTTGCTGTGGACTAAAAGCATTGAAGTGTGATGTATCATAAGAGGGCTCTTCATACGACATATGCAATGGGGGGATATCAACACGTTCTTTCGGCAATGAACTATGAGAATCGCCGAAAGTCTGGATAGATTCACGTGATGTACTATATGCCACAAAATCAGACGGAGGTGTATGTATACTTGTTGAATTTTCCTTAATTCGGCCATAATCATAAATAGCACATGAAGCCGAATTATAAGCATTGGACATTATACAAGATGAACCGTGAGCATGAGAAAAAATCTCTTATTGAGAAATATTTGGCATGGCATGTAATGGATTAATATTATCACTGGACAACTAATATTACCATGGCTATATATTTCTTTCATCAGCAAGATTTGTTGTGTAGTAATAGGTTGCAAAATAATCCCCGATGAATTAAAAGGTGCATGTACATGATGTGTATTGCTAGCATTATTAAAATTTATAGTATATGAATTACTTTGCATAGACTGTAACATGTTATGTCCATAATTTAAAGAGCTCAAATAATTTTTTGAACTTTCATTAGCCGATGCAGTAGATCTAGCAACATCTACCTGAGAATTCATAGGACATGCAAAATTATTTGAGGGAATAGACAAAGTCTCTGCCTCGCTATTGATGTAGTGAGGTAGAGGTGTAGCACTCAAGTACCCGCGCGTCCATGTATTTTCAGCAAGCCTTGACCTTTTCCTGGTGAAAGATTGCCGTGTATACGTATCCAAATCAAAGAGATTATTAGCTTGCACTTACCGATCTGAGTTGCTCTTGTATTCCTCGATTTGGTTGCTATCTGTAGCCGTAGAACGGTAGCAATCCTGATTTTGACCGGTGTTGCACCTAGGTTGCTGCTCACCTCGTTCTCCTCAACCCTGCCGAACAGATCAATTCGGCCAAAACAAAAACATTTGCAACGACCGCAACCGACGATAGCGAATAGTAGATTGGGGAAAATAAAAGTGAGATGTAGATTGATTTCGGTCTACTTGCCAGACCGAAATTTGTTCTCTAGCGGAGTCACCAAAATATATTGACGCTTTTTCGTAGCCAACACAAGATCACCTAACGATTTACGGTGTAAACAAGAGAGTCGCCAAAATCGATAGATCAAAATCGGCCAGTGAAACCGATTTCGAGATTAATTCACTTTCGCGGAATCACACGACTAATTTACAAGCAAATTAGCAAAGAGGATAAATATCGTACTCACGTGACGACGAACGACTAGTTTCCGAGCAAACTAGCAAAGGATAATCTTATCGCTTTCGTGGAGAAGCATGCCTGTTTTTCAGCCGCAAAATGGTAAAGGTTAACTAAATTCTAGGGTTGCCAGAACTCAGCCAAGAAAACAAAATAGAAAATAATAGGAAAGTAAAGAATTGGAAAATAGTAGATTGGTAATTTTGTTCGGGGGCCCTCTCCTGACCATACACCCGTGTATATATACAGGTGACATGGTCAGCCAAAAAATAGAAAGGTCTAACCGAAAGGGAAACAAATTGATAAACTAGGAAAATATATATAGCCGCACACGCTAATCACGCCAACTAAACCATCTCTCGAGTGTACATGTTGTTGGGATACGTGTAGGTTACGATAGCATAAATCAAAATTTTATATCGCGTAAACCAGGAACCATGCAAGTATTAGACCATAGATCGTTACCACTCGACGCGCTGCGCAGCGGAAAAAGGCGCTAAGAAGTCGAAAAAAGTCTCGCGAAGTAGCGCGCGTCGATGTAGAGGAACTAGTCGATCGCACCAGCTCGACCTTCTCCTTCTCGTGCGTTCTCCTCGCCGTACTTCCACGCCGATCACCACCGCAAACCAGCGGCGCCTCTACCGGTATCCACACGTACAGGGACGAAACGCCACGCGCAAATGTGCTAGCACCCGAGCGCGGCTAGGGTTTTGCTCGGGGAGGGAAGTGACGGCTAGGGTTTCTCACGTGATGCAATGCCTCCGCCGGTCATACCCCTCACGAATATATAGGATCCATCACTCGGGCCTCCAAGGCCCGTAGGACTCCTATTCAGATCCAATCCCCTTATTCCGGCCCATTAAGTGTGCGACCATGTAGGTTCATGTATACTCGGCTGTAACCCAAAAACTCCTTTTCGGTCCACGCGTCAACAGCGGCCCCTAGCAGAATGTATTGACCCACCGGACATACATAAAGATCATATCGGCTGAACCTCTAGTGTATACTTGTATGAACCCCTTTGCCTCACGATATCGATTAAGGTCAAGGCTAGATATGTGCCATCCTCTAATAGCTCAATCATTCACTCGAATCTGTTGATAGATTATATAACTTGTGATTGAGTCCTCAATCACCTTTGGCATGGCCATGCACTTCCATAATCTACAATATCGAGTGGCCCAGAGATATCTCTCCATAGGAGGGGCAAATCCCATCTTGATTATTCATATCCCACTACATGTTTCATAGCATACCCGAAAACTACTTTTATAACTACCCAATTACGGAGTAGCGTTTAGCAGTCCTTAAGTAAGCTACTACACATGTTGGGAACCATGATAATCTCAGGTTTAAGGATTCAACACCAACACTAAATGAGATCACTGATGACACAACACATGTGGCTCTTGCAGTGTCTCATGTTGAGTCTATCCAACAACATGTGTCCACATTATTAATTTGGTATCTCTATACCATGATCCATGAGACATGATCATCAATTAATACATGTGCTGATCATATAAACATATTTGTTCCACATATGATATTTGATCAGGGATCCTTTAGAAATAGTAACAAACAACATAAAGAGTCTCATGAAAGAATCACATATTCATTAACCAATAATGAGTTATCTATTTCAAGGAACAATGTCGGATAAATATGTCAATATAGTATGTGATACAATCATCTCTATGATTGCCTCTAGGGCATATCACTAACAGTCTCCCACTTGCACTATAGTCAATCATGAATGTATCTTATACCCATTGCCCTAGTGTGTGCCTCGTGCTTAGGCTGGGGAACTGGCTTTATCAACGGATCTGCAACATTCAAATCCGAATGTATTTTGCATATCTTCACATCTCCTCTACCAACTATCTCGCGAATGAGGTGATACCACCGTAAAATGTATTTGGACTTTTGATGCGATCTAGGCTCCTTGGCTTGCGCAATGGCACCACTATTATCGCAATAGAGGTCCATAGGGCTAGAAGCACTAGTCATCACACCTAGTTGAGAAACAAATTTCTTTATCCAAACAGCCTCCTTTGCTGCTTCCGAAGCGGCAATATATTCGGCTTCTGTTGTAGAATCAGCCACTGTATCTTGCTTGGAATTCTTCCAACTCACAGCGCCTCCATTCAGGCAGAACACAAATCCAGACTGCGATCTAAAATCATCTTTATCGGTTTGGAAGCTTGCGTCAGTGTAACCATTTACAACAAGCTCTTCCTGTCATCCATAGACTAGGAACATATCCTTAGTTCTTCTCAAGTACTTCAGGATATTCTTTACAGCTATCTAGTGACTCTCACCTGGATCTGATTGGTATCGGCTTGTTGCACTAAGTGCATATGAAACATCTGGACGTGTACATAGCATAGCATACATGATGGATCCGATTGC